ACATCGCACACAGCGTTGACCAGTGTCATATCGAAAGGTTCTCATGAATTGTACATTGAAAACAGTGCGGAATTCGGTCAAAAATAAAACGATCTCCTTGGCATGTATTGAAACTATTGTGTATTATTCATCAGCGCCGTATGAAGCGAAGCTATCAGCGGTAGTCGGATGGCCTAGTGGTTAGTGGTGCGGTCTGTGAAACGGGAAGGGAAAGGGCGGTGTTGGTGGTTCGACTCCCCACAGTGCCAAAATTTTGCTTTTTTTCTATTGTCATTTTCCTGTGATCGTGCACTCCTGCGCATGCATATAATGCGGTTTTATGTTCGTTTTGAGATCCTACGACTGCGAATTCGTATCGGTCTCTCACGAACTTGTGTGTGCATCGGTAGAAATTTTATAACTCATAAACAAATTGCCCCCGGAAGGCTTGCAGAAGGGCTAACGTGGAATAGGAGGGGTCCGTCCTAGTGATTACCACGGAAACCGAGGTACTCCCTTGCAGGGCAAGTCTCACACAACTTTGCGCTCTTTGCAGCTGATCTTGCTATCGACAGTAGACCCAGCCAGAAATATGACCAGGACCCGACCTGCCACTGTTTGACAATGAGGGGAACCTAGTGACATAGTCATTGGTGACTTCTCGCCAATCGTCGGCTTGAGTGTCTACGATTTTCTATTGCGGGAAAGGATTTCGCATTCCGTGAAAGATGACAAAGAGGTCGCTCCAAATTATCTACCAATGAGCCTGACGGGCTAGTGATCTACTACCCATGGTCCAACTGTTCGAAGTTGGGACGAAATCTTAATTTTCCCTGAAACTTTCGGGTTAGGGGTTATTCGGCGTCCTGATTACGAATATTCTATTAGTTTTTAGCGTAAACGTCATTTGAATTCGCTATGACGCCATTGGGCGCTACAACGGCGCCGTTTTGGTATCGCAACTTTCTCCACCAGTTTTTTAGTCAAAATCTACGTATGAAGGTTGCTGTTGCTCCTAGTTATAGATATGACATCTGCTATTCACGCTGACATCCTTTTTCGTGAAACTTTGGAGCGCGAACAGAATGCAAAAAAATTGTCACTGTGAGGATTCGAACCACGGACCACTTCATAACCCCTTTTTTGGTATTCAGAGGGCCGCTCAGGAAAAATGAACTATAGTTCAGTGTTCCATGCATGTACCCCTATATCATGCAAAAAACCGTTTTGAGAAAGCTTGGCATTTCCTGAAAGACCTTCCTCATAAGTGTGCTCACGAATTTCCTGTTGCCGCAATGCCGCACGCGGCCGCTACCCCCTCCCCTCCCGAGCCACTTTGCGCCAATGAATCAAGTGCTTCATACAAAACACTTCGAAGAAATATGGTTGGAAGGAATCTCGTCCATCTACCTGTCCTTTTCAACTGCAATAATCCAATAACTCCAGTTGCGAAAAGAAATTCTTTCGGCCTCATTATGGCGGGAAGTATTAAGTTGAGAAACTTTTATTTGCTTCATAAAAATTTGAGAAAAGCAAGGCTAAGAATACACCTGAACGTATAGCTAAGCATGTAAACAAACATATGTACATACGAAAGGAGGCCTGAGGTTCCTCAATTGAATGAGACTGTGGCTGTGAACAAAAGGTCCAGAAGAAATCTCTAGAATCTCTAGCTTTTGTGGGAGTATACAGGGGTGGCCAAAAAAAGAGACTTAGCCCATGGCGCACATCATCGAACTTTTCGTCACACAGGGAGCCGATGTTAATGAAAGTTTTATGGCGTTATATTCCTTAGTTGTTCCTCCGTAAACAGAAGCAAGCACTCCTTCACTGCCCCTGCCGTCTCCAGAATATGACGTCATCTGCCGTCACCGTCGAGCTCAACGAGGCTTACCGAAATCGCTCCGACCTGAAGCTGCTACACAATTTCCTCAGTGAATTAATTGTTGAATAGCTTCCCAGAGACATTAGCTGTGAATATGCAAAACCGCTTTTGACCAGCGTTTCAGAGACGTCGTAATCGTCTATGGTATCTCGACGACCTCGTTGAGCTCGTACCGTGCACAATGCTTCCGTGGGAAAATCTTCTGATGTCGTCGGTGTAGAAGGCTGTTGTGTAGCTTGTTGATAGATTATAACGTGCTCTTCAATATTCAGTTGGGGTCATTTGGTTTGGTTTCGCGACGCGTAAATAATTCCGTTTTGAATGTTGAGTGAAGTGTCTCTTTTTTTGGCCACCCCTGTATTTTACAAAAGAGATACATAATGCTGAAGCCAAAGTTTCCGAGTCATTCCAGGTAGCTTCAACGGGGTGTTTCCGAGACATCAGTTGTCACCCTGATGCTCCTTCCTCCCTTCAGCACCATTAATTTGACATTGGACGTTGAGGGGAATGGTAAAACACTAGTCACCGAAAAATTGGTATGAATTATTCCACGACAAACCTTTTGTCTCCCGCTTGCCAAACGCTGAAATAAAAGTGGAATTTTTGCTGTCTTCAAGCAAAAAAGTTTGGCGAACTGACCTCTATGAATGACTTCAAACCATCGATTGTGATCATGTTCGGAGCGCCAATGCAGAAATCAGTGGCAGTGATCTGGGCGAGAACGCTGTCATCTACTGGGATATAATAACGAGGAAACCGTATTCGAGAGCGATATTTTTGAGAAGAGGTCATAGAAAAACATCGTCTCGTTACGATGAATTGCAAGGCCTCCAAGCTGATTTCGTCCAGAGGACAATAAAAGTCAATTTTGCTGAGATGGATCTCCGTAGGAGCGAGATCGCGAAGGAACTGGTAAAGAACCGCAAACTTCCAGGCATTCAAGGATAATTCACTAATTCGAAAACCGAGGACTCGACACTTCAGATTTAGAAGATCTCGCAAAATCCAGGGCAAATTAAGATCCACCTGAAATTACGCAACTCTAAAATACTGCCAGTTACATAGTAATCTCTCTGAAGTCATATAGAAATTGGAGTAGATGCGAATCGAGCGATTCGCTAGCGTCCGCGGTCGCGTTGCGGTACCAGCCAATTGAGTGATTCGCTGGCCGCGACGCGACCGCGGACGCTAGCGAATCGCTCGATTCGCAAAGTCTGACATCGCCTGTAGATAGACGCGCTACGGCAAAACACTGCTCAAATGATCCCCAATGAGCAGATGTGAGCTCGTATCTATTGCCCACAACATCTCCAAAATAAGAAGCTATCCAGCATCGCCGGCGATTTCAAAGAGGCCAGTCATCATTGCTCAAAGCAACACCACCGGCAGAAGTCATGTCGAAGAATCTATTCAGTGGGTGGATAGAGTAGCCCACGAGTAGCACAGATGTGCCGTTGTCGCGGCTCGAAAGTGCGCGACAATGGCGCTAGGGTCTCAAAGTCAGCATTTGGCGACTAATCTTAGCATTTGGACGAGTTACGTAGCGCACACCCCATGACACGCAACGTGGATTACGGCGTAGCGGCTAATTCAAATACGCGCGGGTTAGTTGAGCCGTGGAGCAGGCAAGTTCGCACAACTCGTCTGGCCCCGCCCTTCCTTATTTCAAGAGGAATTTTAGTTTTGGGCTTACCGACGGTTTTCCTTGCTTGCTTTTCATTTTCAGTCAATTCGGCATCCACAAATCCCATCTACGAATGTTGCTTTCAGCCCAACCTGTTAAGCAATCTCCTCAAATTAATCATCGTAAGGTAGGTTTCCAAAGGCAAGCACCAGGATGAAATGAGTAAGAGCGTTCAAGGACAAGGTCTAGAAAAGAAGAGGAAAGCAAAAGAAACCCCGGACCACGTCCAGAGCACCCCCTAGGATAGAGAAGGGGCGTGTCGGATGAGTTTCACGGATAGCTCCACTTGCTGCAGTGCCAATAACATTGAACCGCAATGCAACCGCTGCTGCATTGCGCCCGCTTTTCGCGCAGCGTTGTGTGGCAGCCGACAGGCAGAAGGCGGGGCTTGCGGACGAAGGTGTAGTTTGCGGATAGAGCGAACTCTAGCGCCTTTGTCGCACACTTTCAAACCGCAACACCAACGCTTGTCCGCGTGTCTACTACGGTCGGCGATGGAGCAGAGGAGCGTGCTTAATCCTGAAATGTGACTTTAAGGACAGACACTCTGACTGTGCACCGAAGGATGGATCTTGGGCCATCCTGCATTTAAGACAATGTGCTGTAATCCGTGATCCCATCCAGCGCCTGGCGTCACGTTCTCTTGGCAAAATATTCTGATGTCGTCTGTGCAAAATTCCCATCAATAGTGTGAAACAAGTCGCTTCAATATGTAGTTGGGAAAAAGCTGCTGGACCCTAGTAAAGATGTGCAGTGCAGTGTTGACAACGAAGGGTGAAAGGTGAAGGTGACTTTTTTAGCCCCCTGTACATGTGCACAGCAACGAAACGTTGAAACTGGGAATGGACCCATTATTCCTGGAATGGGGAGCAAGGAGGGCGACCGTTAGTACGTTTTCGCACATGGCCAAACCTTGATGACAGCGTGAGGCGCATGCGCCTCGCGCTTTGGGCGCCACGCGGGACGGCGCGAGGTTCATGCGCCTCGCACTGATTCTTTCTAAGTTTTTGTTTATTCTATGTATGACACCACAGCATGCAAACGAATTGGTTCACCGAATCGTCTAATACGTTAGCGAAGATCTCGTTTCTTTATATTCTTACATAGACATGTATGTGAAATACATAGTATTAGATGCACATAAGACCACTACGCATGGAAAGATTACTGAAAGAACCATGTAAAACATACACTCGAAGTTCACTACAGCGACTACAACTGAAATTTGTCTTCCTCAGCCAAAACGCGCCACTTTGAGCTCAGTTCTTTGGCTCTGCCCCCACCCTCCCCCTCCCCATAACTTAACATCGTTTTGTCGCACCCAAGTATTACGCATTTACAGCTCAAAATCCACGGATGTGAGTAGAGCAAATGTGCATCAAAATCGAAATCGCCAAGGTCCCACGCGGCGGGAAATCCATCCCTTTTGTCAGAGTGCTATGGAAAACCGACCTTCTGAATCTCCAAAAGACAGACTTCAGCGTTTCTGGTCATCTTTGGAAGAATGCTGGGAAGCGGCGGTGGTAATGAGCAGAACGTGGGAAAATCATGGCGTCTCGGCAGCGTTGTAACGAATTCTTTCGTATCGTCTAAGAAGAACTGAAATGATCCAGCATTCGTCATGCCCATCGCAAAAAGACTACGCTTATCTTTTCTGTCATTTCAATTTTAATCTCGAAACGTTTACTCCTCAAAATGACCTAACAGTCGAGAGGTAATAACCAACCATCGGTTCATCTATTCCCTCTTCAGAGCATTGCACGCGCATCTGCATCTCATCCCCGTATTCGGTCTGCAAAAAATAACCTTTGTCGATTAACTGGAGATTATAGTGAAAGCTGTAAATGTGAGTGACTTCTCGTAGCAGCAGCCTCTCAATGACTCTTCTTCTCATCAACTGTTCGTTACAGCAAATAAGCTCGAGCGTCTCACGATTCACCAGACGGCATCTGTTCACATCACTTCGGCGGAGATTCTGCAGAACTTTCAATTGCAACTCCCTTGGTAAACGATTCCAGGGGAAAAAACCCTGAAAACACGAGATCACAGAATTAGATGGAAAACCTTAACATAACTTGAACCTTTGCTACACAAAGGCACTCTCTTCTGTGAGAGCAATGATACAAGTTGTTAATTATGTTTGAAAAGTCGAAAAGACACTTGCCGTCGTTGGGCAAAGTGAGCTACCATGCAGATCAGCGGACATTCTTGATGTAGTTGATTTGGGCTCCTCATCTGAAAAAAACTTCACTGCAAAAACTCGTACGATCGAAGAATGTGCCAAACACGAAGGCAGTGAAAATGGATGAGGACGGAGCGACTTGATGACGCTGGTGGGCGACTCGGGAGGACACGACTCCTAAGCGCACTGTGAGGTACATATGTATGGCCGAGACTACCTCCCGACGCTCTTCCAGCAATGATACTCGATGACATCAAAACCGCTCCGCCTATTAGCCATTGTGTTTACTGTCATTAGGTCCCGTCCTCTTAATCTAGCCATGCATGCGCTCGGCATTTACATTCTTAAATCTATTGATTTCTTTTATCATTTTTATTGTGGATTTTTGCGAGAGTGCGAAGTTTAATTGCAAGGTTGGACTCCCATGGAATACTATCGGAAAGTAGTCGTGGGAGAAAGAGCTCCCTTAGAATCCCGAAGAAAATGCGCGCTCCACTGTGCTCTGGATTTCTGGCGTGAAGCAACAACGCCGGAACAATTGTTGGAAGTAACAGCGGGCGATAGTAAATGATGGATAAGAAAAGTCTGAGAAGAGAAAAGCAACGAAAACCGCCGATGAAACCATCAAATCAAGACAGCGTTTCTCCTATTTGAAATGAGGGAGGGGTGTATCCGGACGAGTTGTCTCAATGCTTGCTGCGTAGCTTCACAAACCCGCCAGTGTTTGAATTATCCGCTACGTCGTAATCCAAGCTACACGTCATGACGTGTTCACGAGGTATTTCGATGGGATGGGATGGGATGGCATGTACGCGGACAGGACGAAATGTACGGATATCCTCAGGATGTAGAGAGTTACCACTGTAAGGGTCCTAAATGTGTGAAAAAAACGTCACTGTCTGAAATCGCAATGGAAATCACGAGATTTTGGAAAGGTGTGATTGACAAGCTCTGAGCTCGTAGCTCTGAGCTCGGGCTCACAGCTTTGCACGATTAGAATCAAAACTCGACAATAGATGAGTGGGATAACTTTCAAAAGCTCCTGCAACTTTTGAGCAAAAACGAATGCACGGTTCTCAGAACAGAAATAGTTGGGGGTTTTCCAAACCCACAAATGTTGGGACACCGATGTTTTTTGACCATGCCTATGTAGGGGAGAGAGAAATCACTCAGACGAAATGACTTTTCATGGCTCGAGAGAAAACCTCTAGAAAAGAAAAACTTGTGAGTCGTTGAGATTTCAGGGAAGATTCGCAATTGTTGTAGAGCACAACACTCGTACTTTCCATTTTGCTCATATTTTTCCACACAATCAATTTTGGAAGGGGTTGCGACCGTTTGAAGGTTGAAAATCGTGTTTTTCAGAGGAATAGCTCAAAAAATTCAAGGAGAGAAAAACAGGGCTATTTTTTGACCTGCTCGATTTTGGAGTTAGTTCGATGTTCCTTCAACACGTTGACGACAGCGTGACGCGGTAACGCGTCCCACTTTGCGCACCTCGTGGGACATTGTGACGCGGTAACGCGTCCCACCCAAGTCATCCCTTTTTCTTGCGCTTGCGCGACTTATTCCTAAGGTCTTTGTACTCATTCTATAGGCCATACATTAGCATACTTAAAAACCACATGGCTCACAGAAAGGCCAAATATTCTTTAGTTTGGCAGAGGTTTTCCAGACCTTACGGATATGTCTGTTCAGTTCATTCCTCGTTTTCTTTTCATTAACGTAAACATGTTGATAAAGGAATAATAGAAGCGAATACAAACCTATTCGTATGGGAAGATATGTTTTTACTGAAACAACCACGTCCAAATTAATTTTGGAACCACTAAAGGGAAAGTAAGTAAAATTTGCCTTTTCATGGCCTTAACACGTCATTTCGGTCGAACTTCCATTACTGTAACTCCCGATAAGTTAGACAGATCGAACATTATTGAAAACACTTCATCGCATCTAAGTATTGCGTATTTACAGCTCAAAATCCATGGATTTGGTGTGCGGCGGCGGCGCTCGCAAAATCGCTCTGGTCCCACGCGGTGCAAAAACCCAAAACGCGCGATGTCGTCAACGTGTTAAAACTCCAAGTTGATTATGGGAAAGCTATAGCGGTTCAAAGCCGAAAATACCAGCGCTCTGTCGAAAATCGTTCCGCAAATCCCCCGAAACGGACCAATGCAACTATTTGATCCATTATTCTGGAAATGACTTCAAGTAATTGCTAGGAAGCTATCGCCTTCTAGCTTTTAACAGCGGGTGAAGAACTGCAAAAGGTGAAATCTGAAGAAAATTATAACAGTGTAAAGCCAAAAAGGACGTGTGCACGAAAAAGTGACCAACGGAACGTTTTTTTTTGTAGAAATGAATATTTACTAAAGTTGAGTGCCCTTTAAAGAGGAAACGATCCGCAGATCTTCTTACTATTTCATATAGTTTCGTATGAGAAACTTTCAATGGGAGAAGTGCTCATTTCTATGGAATCTAAATCTTCTTATGGTTAGTAACAAAAAAAAGCCCTCAAGATGCTGCACGACATGATATTTTCTGAATCTAGCAGCCCCGTTAAAGGAATCTTCGCGGAAAATTCTTGCATTCTTTCTTGACATGAATGTGTCAGTTGTGATCACTGGAAACAGCACACAAAGTTTCACGCATGAAGATTCGGTTTCCGAAGAGAAACAAACGTACAAAAACTACACTCTATGGACAATCGAAGGTAAAAGGGGCGGAGCCAAAGGCGAGGCATGGAAAGAAGTCCGCCTTTGGGCGGCTACGATCAGGCGGCGCAATCAAGACATAAGCCGTTTGGACACGGTGAGCATCCGAAATCAGCTTGTATTATGGCGTTCTGCCGAATTCACATATTGGGTAGATGCATAGTTATTGCGGCCTTTTTTTCGCGCATTCTTTCTTTCGGAAAGATTGACTTTTTGTGTATCATTTTTCCGCAAAAAATATTCTTCTTTCTTTCGTTAACGGAAATGCTTATCGAAAATATTTATGTTCGCCACGTATGCTCTGCCACGAGGGAACCATCAGCCGAAGCCAATTTGAATGGTTCAAGTTGTTCAAAACGCGTATTCACCGACCAAAGCTCCTACAGACTACACTTCAATCAGTCGTTGAAAAACTGGCAAACGAACAAAATTTACGACGAGCTGGATGACTTGGTGGCCGATGTTAGAGCGTGGATCTTCTCCAAGAGTCGTAATTCCTTCACCGTGCCGCAGTAATTATGCATCAACCCAATAATACAATGTGCGGCGCATTGACGCGCTTTCTGGAGGAACAATATTTTAAGTTATGCAAACAATGAGGCCACCCCACGTGCAATGCCGTCTCGCGCAAGGCCAGTCCAACATCATCCTCCACCTTCTAGATGAATTGCGCTTGGTATAGTTGGCGAGTTTGCTCGACATTCTCTCCTCGTTGAGAGAGCGCAGAGAAAACGAGAAGTGGGAGGCGAGCACACATGAAAATCGATAACACGTGACATTGCGCGCCCCAGTGCCAACGCTTCAGCGCGTCAATGCGTCGCGCATTGTACGTGACTGCGGCAGGAACATCATAATTCACGCTGACTTCGTGTACTCACCGTGTCCGAATGGTTTCATCGAGCATGTTTCGCGCTGCGAAACGCGCAAAGGTCGTTTTCTGTCCTAATGGACCATACACGCTTGTGCACATTGCAAGAGCGACTGCACGTGCTTAGAGCGAGCAGTCGCTCCAAGCATCTAAGCAGAGCGATTGCATCGCGATGTACGAAGCGGTGGAGCGATCGCGTCGCTCCAACCAACACTGGTCCATCGCGATGCAGTCGCCGAGTCTGACCGACATCTGAAGAAAGTATGAGAGCCTAAGCGAAATCGTAGTTGAGCATACCAGACACTTCCGAAAAATTCTCTTCCCTTACTCTTCTTTTCCTTCCTTTTATTCCAATCGAACTGGATTCCTTCGACATTTGATGAGGATAGAGCAATGAATTGATGGACGGAACGTACTGAAAGTAAAGAAACGAGGCAGTTTCAGGCAAAGCTGAGTTTCAAGCATAATATTACAGAATATATATTGCAGAATTTGCAGAATAGGGTACTATACAAGTGGGGTGGGCACACCCAGCTTTTCACGCATGTCAAGTGACTGCCCTCACCCCCCCCCCCACCCCTAGATTGGCTACACTCCCCCTGGCTCACGAATTCCCCGATTCTCGTGACAGTATAGTAGCGAGCAGCAGTCCCACTGACATACATTAACCCATTGGCGAAATTGCGGCTCGACGCGGGGACGCACATTTTTTGCCACGACGGACAATGCGGATCGGCTCCCAGACAATACCTAACCATTTGGGCGCGGCCGCGGCGAACGCGGCCGAGTCGATTGTGCCCGCGAACCGTTGAAAACGCACTCGAGGTGCCCGCGAACTGTGCTGTGCTGAGTTCGCGGGCACCTATCAACTCGGCCGCGTTCGCCGCGGCCGCGCCCAAATGGTTAGGTATTGTCTGGGAGCCATGCGGCTCGATGTGGGGACGCAGCATTGAGATAACTCTTCTCCGCAGGATTTCCAGAAGTGTTCCTATAGCATACTAATCAGGAAGGCGTTGTCATACTTACGGTATTAATGGTCAGTGCATATCTTCCTTAGTTGATGTTTTACACGAGGGGTACTTGAAAGTGATTTTCCAAGGCAAAGCTTGTTATTTTTGAATGTATCCGGCTGGCTTTTCGCCTGGAGTCAGCTAGAGTAATGCTACAACATTTCACAAAGAGAGATCTGGATCCGACCTCATTTACGGGTTTTAAAGTGGAGATTTGAAGTTTTTCTGGCATGCTCCAAAATACACCCTCGGCAAAACCTAAAGATTTACGCTCATTTTGGAAGCGGTCTGCAATCAT